TCAGCATATATAAAAGCCATATAAGTGTGAAATAAATGAACTAAAGGCCAATCTTACTAAGGAATTTGATGTAAAAATGTTAAATAAAATATTAGCAAACAGGGGGCGCCTGGGTGGCTCAGTCAGTTAAGCTTCTGACTCTTGGTTTCAGCTCAGGTCATGATCTTGGAGTCCTGGCATTGAGCCCTGCATTGGTTCTGTGCTCAGCTCGGAATCTGCTTGTCCCTATCCCTCCCCCTCTGCTCCTCTCCCCCTTCCCCCACGTTCTCTTTCTCACATAAATAAAATCTTAAAAAAATATACTAGCAAACAGAACAGAAAAATATATTAAAATAATAAGACATCATGACCAAATGATATCCATTTTAGCAATATAAGGATGGTTCAATATCAGTGACTTTATTATGTAATCCATGGTATTAATCAAACTATGGAGAAAAAAATCCTACAATCATCTTGAAGGGTATTGGAGTGACATTTGATAGAAGTCAACATCCATTCATGATTTAAAATACTTTCAATAAAATAGGATTAGATGGCAATTTCCTTAGTGTTTAAACTTATCCTAGTCAACCCAGAAGCCAGCCAGCATCATGCTTAAATGGGAAAACATTCTCATTAATGAGATGCATTCTCATTAAGGTTAGGAATGTCATAAGGAAACCATATCACTACTTTTATTTAATATTATTCTGGAGATCCTAGAAACCAAAGAAATGAAGATAACAAAATAAATTAGAGGTATACACCCTTAAAACAAGAAGTAAAATTACCATTTAAAAAATTATTTATTTTTTTTAAAGATTTTATTTATTTATTTGAGAGAGAATGAGAGATAGCATGAGAGGGAAGAGGGTCAGAGGGAGAAGCAGACACCCCGCTGAGTGGGGAGCCCGATGTGGGACTCGATCCCGGGACTCCAGGATCATGACCTGAGCCGAAGGCAGTCGCTTAACCAACTGAGCCACCCAGGCGCCCTAAAAAAATTATTTATTTATTTGAGAGAGAAAGTGAGCGACAGAGGGCACAAGCCAGGGGAGAGGCAGAGGGAGAGGGAGAAGCAGACTCTCTGCTGAGCAGGGAGCCCGATGTGGGACTCAATCCCAGGACCCTGGGTTCATGACCTGAGCTGAAAGCAGAAGCTTAACCGACTGAGCCACCCGGATGCCCTAAAATTCTCATTATTTACAGATGTTATGATTGCACATTTGGGGAAGACCCAGGAGAAGCCACTGGAAAGTGTTCATAAGCAAGGAGAATCTAGCAAAATGGATGGGTGCAAAAGTACTATACAGAAATCAACACATTTCGGGTATACAAACAATAGTAGGAAGATAGATCAAAAGGTTTTATTTACAATAGCAATAAAAACTTATATATTGCAATAAACTTAATAAATACGCCAGACCTGTAAGATGTAAAGTTTAAAATATTCTGGGGGGGAGGGAGGAGTCACAAAAAAGAGAGCAAATGGAAAGGCAATTCATATCATACAGTTGTGAATTCTTGCCAAGTTTGTTTGTAAACTTCACCCCATAAAAGTAGTAGTAGGATTTTTTGGGTACATAGACAAGCTGATGCTAAATTCATATAGAATACCAAACAAAGCAGGAAGAGACAGGAAATTTTTGAAAGAGAGGATCAATCATGGAATACTCTTCCTACCTGATGATACATATATAAATTTAAAAAGGTATAAATATATAAAGTAAAATAATTAAAACAGTGTGGTACTGATATGTAACAGACAACTCAACAGAATATAATGGATGGTATCAAAATCAGTCCAAGTACAGGAATTTGATACATGACAAAGATGTCATCTCACATAAGAGAGGAGAAGATGGGTTAGTCACTAAATTATTTTAGAATAACCAGGGAGACAGCTTACAACAAAAACAAAACCGGGGTTGGATCCATACCTCACATTTGCTATTAGGACAGTTTCCTGATATAAATATTTAAATGTGAAAAAGTTTAAAACAAACAAACAAACAAGACTAGGAGCAACTATAAGAAAATTCTTCTATAAACTTGGAAGAAGCTCTTCCTGAACTATTATATAAAGTCTAGGAGTCATAAAATGAAAAATTGTATAACTACTCTATACAAACAAAAATTTTATGTGACAAAACCCACCATAAACAAAGTTAAGCACAAACAAGAAGCTGGAAAAAAATATCTGTAATTCCTATCACATAAAAGTGTTAAATTTCCCTTTTAATAGAGTCCCTTCATACCATTAAGAAAAATACCAACAATCCAACAGAAAACTGGACAAAAGACAGAAGTAAGGGGCGCCTGGGTGGCTCAGCTGGTTGGGCAACTGCCTTCGGCTCAGGTCATGATCCCGGAGTCCTGGGATCGAGTCCTGCATCGGGCTCCTGGCTCAGCGGGGAGCCTGCTTCTCCCTCTGAACTTCTCCCCTCTCACGGTGTTTCTCTCTCTCTCTCTCTCTCAAATAAATAAATAAAATCTTTTTTAAAAAAAGACAGAAGTAAGAGCTGACAGAAAAGGAAATACAAGTGACCTTTTAACATATGAGGAGATACTCAATCACCTATCAGATTGGTCACGATGAAAAAAAAGTTGGGTAGCACAATGGTTAGCGCAATTAGGGAACCACCACCCTCATGTTTTGCTGAACCAGCACCACTGTGATGGAGCACAATTTGGCAGCATTTATCAAAATCCCTGGTCCACAGATCCTTTGTTCCAGCATTTCCACTTCCAGTACTGCTACATATGCCAAATGGCCCAAGTTCCCAGCTCATTTTTGCAGCACGGTTTGTAATAGCAAAAGATCAGAAATAAACTTGTATCCTAGGCGACTGGCTACCTACATCCACATCCACACAATGGAATACAGTACAGCTATAAAACATAGAGCTCTTTCTGTGCTAATATACAATGATCTCCAAAATAAAATTAAAAGTAGGGGCGCCTGGGTGGCTCAGTCATTGAGCATCTGCCTTCTGCTCAGGTCATGATCCCAGGGTCCTGGGATCGAGCCCCACATCGGGCTCCCTGCTCGGCGGGAAGCCTGCTTCTCCCTCTCCCACTCCCCCTGCCTGTGTTCCCTCTCTCACTGTGTCTCTCTCTCTGTCAAATAAATAAATAAAATCTAAAAAAAAATTAAATTAAAAGTATAATAAAAAGTGTGTCTAATATGCTAGCAAACTACCTTAATGTAACAAAGAAAGAAAGAATGTAATATGTAAATTTGCTCTTATATGCACGAATTCTGTCTGCAAGAATGCCCAAGAAGCTGATGATCATCACATCTGTCCTCAGGGACATGACCTGGATGGCTCAGGGACAGGGAAGGGAGATAGGACTATTTATTTTGTGCATTTTGTACCCTTTTATTTTAAACCACATGAATGTATTATCTATCAAAAAATGCACACAACACATTAAAGTTTACGATGGGGAATAAAGGATGTAGTTAAACTCCAGCCTGTTTGTGCTTATCCTGAGCTTGACTGAAAATAAAGTCTCTTGTTAATCTATGTAGCTTTCTGATTAAGGCACAAAAGAAGGAAAATAATTTTTCATTTGAAAACTTAAGTTCTAAAATAAAAGGTAAATAAGAAAAAAGTTAACAAAATAAGTAAAAACAAAGTTGCTCAAGAACAGGGATAGGAGGGGCGCCTATGTGGCTCAGTTGGTTAAGTGTGTGACTTTGGCTCAGGTCATGATCTCGGGGTCCTGGGATCGAGTTCTGCATAGAGCCCCACATCGGGCTCCACACTCAGTGGGGAGTCTGCTTGAGATTTTTTTCCCTCTGCCCTTCCCCTGCTCATGCTCTCTCTCTCTCTCCCTCTCTCAAATAAACAAATACAATCTTAAAAAAAATAGGAATAGGAGAATCAGTTTGTTTAAAGCCATCAAATAAATATCAACAACAAAATAAATCATGTGAGTGTTTAACTAAACTGTCGGTAGGGATATATATATATACCAAAACTTTGGCAAGGAGGAGAGGGGGCAGAGAATAGATGTTACTTTTTTTTTAAGATATTTCTGTATTGTTGGATTATTCCAATTCTTGATTAATTAATTCAATAATTTAAAAAATTACAATCATATTTAAATATAAAAAGGCCTAAGTTTCCATTGGTAACCAAATATATGTGTGTTTAAACAGTAAATAAAAAAAAATGCAAGCTTAAAAGAGGCACCATTTTTTGACTAGTAAAACAGCAATGTTTTTAAAATGTGGTCCTCAATACAGGTGACAGTATGGTGAAAAAGTTATTTCATACATTAGCAGTGAAATATAAACTGGTACCTTTCCCTCCATTTAATTCAAATTTAGAACATGCAGTGTAAGATATAACACAGAAAACTCCCATTGTATCCTTTATCCATACTGTTAAAAAAAAATTTGTTAGTGCAAATTAAGAAACTTAAAAATATTTGCATCTTTAATCCAATAACCTCATTTCTTGGGACCTATCCTAAAACAAAAATAATTCAAAGGAAAGAAAAACCTATATGCATAAAAATGTTCATTCAATACCATATATACCAATATATTCATATGTATAATTTATATATACATATATATCTATAAATTAATAAAAGTTATTTTCTAAATAAAAAATAAATTATTTACCTAATGAAACGACATGTCCACTAGATATAATAGTCTCCTGCCATCAAATCGCATTTATGTAAACGACGTGCTAACTGTCATAATAGCTAGGATATATTGATTTTTTTAAAAATACAATTTGGGGGGTAAAAGTTGCCACATACAGATAATGAGCAGGCAGGTGGTGAGATTATGGTTGATTCTTTGTCTTTTTCAAAACTCTCTGTAACATCATTTCAAACTTAATTTTTTCTTAATTTTTCAAATTCAAATCTTCCTACTTTTGTCACAATTTACTTTGGGAAGAAGGAGGAAGTGAAAGATGCCTGTTGTTAGTCCAGTAAGAATGACTAACTGCCCAGCAGGAACTGCAGACTTTTGTTAGGAAAGCACCACTTACTTGCATCTTTGTCTGGAGAAGCAGGATGGACCCTCTGCCCCAGGCAGGTACTACTGAAAGGCTGTGCCAACTTCTCCAGGGGCTGGGCGCTGTCCGCCGGCACCCCCGCCCCCCTGCTGGTGCTAAAGAGGTCCTGGAAGTGCTTTCTTTGTTTGGATTCTTGGAGGGAACTCTCAAAAGATTTGTCTTTGAGTCTGAAGGAGGTAAAGAGTGAGATTTTTCCCTTTGGAACCCTAGAAGCGTCTGGGGAGGTCTCTTGCAAACTCACTTTCTCAAGGAGTGTGGGGACATCTTCCATCTTGTGGCAGGGCGGGGTCATGAGTGCAGGAAACACCTTGGACGGTTGGTTGGGCAAACTACGGGTGCGGAGGGCAAGGTCAGGAGGGCGCGGGTACGAGGGCTGGGCAGCCCTGGCAGGTGGGGAGCCCCAGGTGAAGAAGGCTGAGGCCCTGCTCGCCATGTCTTTCCCCGGGGACTGCTGGCTGCCGTCTTTACCGGAGCTGGTTTTGCGAAGGCTGAAGGAGTGAGTGCAAGCATGCGGCTGGCTGGTGGGCAAAGTCTTTGATTCTGGCTTGGCAGAGGCCTTCCTCCCACCTTCAGAGTTGGGGAGGAGGGGCTCCAGGGACCTTCGGATGGCATTTGCTATGAGCCGAAGTGGGGACTTGGGTGGAGCCCGTTCAGCTGGGGTCCCTGTCTTCTCCTGAGCCCTTCCCTGGGTGGGTGGGGTCTCTCTCGCTGTCCGGGGGAACAGCAAGGGACTAACTGGTTTCAGCACACAGCCTCCCCTACCATTGTCAGTACTTCTCTGGGCACACTGTGCCCCAGCTTCCAGGCTCATACTCTCGGGGATGGAATGGTTCCAGTCCAGCAGCTTTGTCTTCTGCTCCGGAATGAGGACTAACTTCTTCAAGCCCAGCTTCTTCCCCTCTTCCAGCTCTGACCCGTCCTCCTCTCCCCTTCTGGGTCCGGTGTTCTTTTCTCCTGGGTCCTCTCCAGCCCTGGGAGATAGCTCTTGGTCTGGCAAGCACCTGTCTTTCCCTCCAGTGGGGTGAGGGCCTCTGCGGATGCTTCTGGTATCCCCAAGAGGGGCCTCTGCTTCCTGACACCCATCAGAAGCCATCTCTCCAAGGCTGGGCGGCTGGGGGCTGGCGAGGCCATCTCCACCAGGCCTCACCATGCGGTACTCTGCCTGCTCCAGCATTTGGCCGTGAGGCAGATACAGGGGCATGTCCTTGGGTAACCCTTGGGCTCTGGCACGCCTCAGAAAGATTGGAGTGGAAGGGCTGGAGTGACCTCTTAAGACCTGTGAGGGCAGGTTGTTAGCTGTCACCTAGAGGGGATGGGAAAAATGAATGGTTATTTAGGAATTCCCAGCATTTATTTATATGGGGAGGCACATCTCAGCCCACGGCCCCCTCCCTTCCTCTCTTCAGATCTCAGACACCCAAAGTCTGAAAGAATTCTGCCTAGGATGATTTCAAAGGGCTGTTCTTCATTCTAAGTGGCTGCTTCAGGACCTGCTGGGATCTGCCTGGAGTCCCTGTAGCAGGACTGATCAAAGACTTTGCTGGGTGCTGGATTAGGTGGGTAGGAAGCCAGAATGGAAGGCTAAGGCACAGACAAGCTCCCGGGCCAGCCAGGCAGAGCTGGCCTGGCCCCTTGTGAGTGGCCAGATGTGTACGGGAGGACAGATACCCCATGGCTGGCTTGGCCATGGTCCTTACTAAGGGGTACATTGCACCCATAGGTATGTTCCTCCACCAACCAAGAGGCCAAGGCTTCTTCCTTAGAGATTATTAAGTTAAGGAGAGACAGTTACCCCTCTGGGCTGGAGCTGTGGTGGCAGAAGGATGGCCTTTACGACTTTTCAATGACCCTTCTAAACCTGACTCTTGCCTTGCACCATTGAGAAAGTAGTCATTTGTAGCATGCAAGAACTTGGCCCTTGGCAAAGGAAGAGCATAGGGAAATTCTAGAAGTGGCTGTGCCCTGCCAAGAGCTCTGGTGCCTGAGGGGCAGGTCATAGGACAGGAACTTACAAGAGCATGTACCTTTCTTCGTCTTGTGCACTCTATTTCCCAGAGCCTAGACCAGGGTCCAGCAGGTAACAGAGGCTTGATAAACTCATACTGAAGGATAAAGATCAAACCTGAGTATCTCAGTAATGCCATTTTCTTTTCAAGGGGGGATGTGCTTCCAAGAGTCTCAGCTGCTACCAAAGGCAGCCTCAGTCTGTGTCTGCCTTATATATCCTAGCATCTCTGCATGCCACAGTCCTGCCCAGAGTCTGTTCCCCACAAAGTCAGTTTAGTGAGTGGCTGTGCCCCGGGGCTGGCTGAGAAGGAACAGGATGGGTGAGCCTTCATGCAAAGGACAAGTGAAGCAGGCCTGGGTGGACTCTTGACAGAGCATCTCATGGCCCTGGCTTTGTACTTGGGTGACCTAAGAGCGCTAAGAATCCAGACTTAAGTGTGGAAGTGGGTGGAGCACGAGCAGCTCACCTTCCAAACACCTGCACCGGGCCCCAAAGGGCATTTACCTGAGGTAGGGAGAAGCCATCCAGAGCATTCCCTGGGACACTGGCTGAAGAAAAAGATGGCGTGGAAGATAAGGGAGAAGACAACGAGGAAGAAGAAAGAGGAGCAGCTTCCTTTGAAGGTGACATAGTTCTTTTGTTGTTCACTGGCGTCAAACCTACCAAGGAAAGAACATACTCTCCATTACAGAGCTGTTATTACCTTATTTTATCATGAAAAGAGGAGGTTTTAAGAGAAGCTCCAACTCAATAAACAGAGTCAGAGGGAGGAAGGTGTTGGAGACTGATTGAGAGGCCCCAGTGCTGAGTCTGACCTTAGGAGGAACGGGTGAGGAGTGGCAGCCTCCTGTGGGGGAACGGAGGTCCAAGGATGGAAAGTCTAGGAACCATCGCACTTCGCACTCAGGATGTTCCTGAGAGATGGAACAGGGAGTCCCCAGGGCATCTCTTGGAAATTGGCGCCTACCTCTAAAGTTTCCCCTGAAGCCATTGTGGTTGGGGTCTGGGCTGCATTAAGTCACTTAGTCAATAAACCACCTGAGGCCTCTTCCCACAAGATGCTGGACCATTAGCCGTGGGCGTGGGCAGGGTAGACAGTCACCGCTAATGAATCGGGGGCTTCCTTCTCACGCGGGCGCCAAGGGGCTCTCAGACGAGATGGTTAGTTTGAGATTTTAAGAGAACACTAGGGAGGGAGGTTATAATGAGCATCAAATCATTTGAAGCATATGGAGTGGGGTTCGTGCCAAGCTCCCATTGGTCAGGGAACAAACGAGATGCAGTGTGTGCGCTCAGAGCAATGGGAGAAAGGAGTGTGTGGCTGGGGCCCTGGGGACACGCCTCATTCTGCTCTGTGGGAGCTGGAGTCCATTCGTCTGGTAACTGCAGAAATGTGACAGTTGTAGCCTGTGAGCTCAATCTCTCTCTCTCTCTCTCTCTCTCTCTCTCATGAGTTCACACACACGCCCTCTAGTAACCTTAAATCTAAAATCTCAAGAGCTTTGCTTCTGTAGCAGAGCATCCCAATAATATGTCCTCAGAGGGATTCAGAAAATGCCACACTCCGTTTCGGAATTGTCTGCTCAGCGTCTGACCCTTCAGCTCAGCCCTCAGCCAACTCTCCTGTGAACCCTCCCAGCAAATGAGGCTACCCCCCAGAGACTTCCCAGGACCAATGTGCGTCTCCCACTCCCTGCATGCGGCCGTTCTGCTGACCCATTCCAATTTCCCTCCAAGTTGTCCAGCCTTCAGATGTTAGCCCACTTCCTAACTCAAGACAATCCCCTGCCTCAGTTTCCCCAAAGCTCCGGGCGATACGCTCCTCCTCTGGAACCCATACAGGCCAGGCCAACCCCACCCTCAGAAGAGTTCCTTCCAGACCCATGTGGGTTCTTCAGGATTCTGTCCTGCTTCCCTTGTACACACAGGCGAGTGTGTCAGAGTGCGTACTGCAGTGCTGGGCTCTGGAAAGACGGCCACCACACACATACGTTCCACAGGCTTCCGAAGAGAAGCCCTCCAGAAAGCTTCTGAGGGAGAAGATAACTCAGGGGAAGGGATCTGAGGGTGGCAGGAAGGAGCTGCTGGGAGAAGGCCCGGGGCTGCCAGGAGCCGATGCGGGGGAGGTAGCTGGCCAGCCTGTCACCCAAACCCCCAGCGCAGCCCACAATTAGACGGTTCGAGCCTAAAAAGGCAAACGCTGTGAGTCAGTTGTTGCCTCGCTTCCTGCCTTCGGCTCGCCAAGTTCCTGCCACATTCCTCCTCCTCCCCCTCCTTGCCCCCTCATTCTCTTCCCTCTGCCCCCTCCTGAATCAAACTCCTCAGCTTGTCTCAGAGGCCCTCAGCTCAACAGACCGCTCTTTTGTTCCCCCCTTCTGACACAGATTCAGGGACACCTTGGGAAGCAAACCTGACAGGAAAGCCTTGGGGTTCACAAGGTCGTGACCCGCTCCCTTCCCCCTTTCTGTAAACCCTGCCCCCCCCCACCACTCCCACCAGTGAGGCCTCTCTGCACACATGTTCCTCATGCACTGACTTCAGGAGAACTTGGGCAGAGCTTGAAGGGACACCTGCAGTCAAGCTGCCCCCTGGGAGCGGAAGGCCAGAGCTAAGCTGAGAGGCGACAGGGGATCTCACCTGCCTGAGGTAGCCAGTGTCTTTGGGCTCCCTCAGAGAATGGCAAAGGGGAGCCTGGAACCCCACCTCCTTCACACCCACTCCAGCTGCCTGACACTTTCCTCATGTGAAAAACGGGACGGCTAGCATTGCTTCACGGGGAGGCTGAAGGAATAAAATGGGATAAAAAGCGTTCCCCGGGGTAGAATGCAAAGTCAGTGCTGCACGCTAGCGAAATATTAACTCTAATCCCTGTCTTCCTCCCACGCACACAGGTTGTGTCCAATAAAGCCAGTGCTGAACTGGTGACCTGCGCCAGAGGGGGCTGCATACCCCAACCCTGCCAGGATTTCTCTAACTTGTAGGCCCCGGGATTCCTCATTCAGCAACTCAGATCCTTTTCTGCAAGTTCCTTCTTGTTTTCCTTGGACGCTTGGCACAGTCCAGCCAGGCTGCCCTGCCCTCTGCAGGGGCCTCAGTCCCGGGTGCTGCCAGCCCTGCTGGTCCCATCATGCAAAGGGCTTGATGAGCAGAGCGGGCCCGGATTACAGCGCCCAAGCCTCCTTTGGCTCAGCTGCCTCTTCTCTGGGCCCTCTGGCAGTGACCTTTCCCCTTGGTTCTAGAGGTCACTGTGGTGACTATGGTCAGCAGGGGGAGGGTGAGAAGGGCACTCACACAGCTCCCTCTGTCCTCCCACCTGGCGCTGGGGCCAGAACCGGCCTTGACCGGGCAGTAAATGGACCCAGGAGATGGCGCCCCACATCCTGCTCCTTACTACAGTAGGACCAGTGTTGCCCCCTGGGGTTTCCTCTTGGGCCAAAACGAAGATGACCAAAATGACGGGTGTGAGGATTTTTACAAAGACTGGGATTGCGGGGTGCAGCTTCCCAAAATCTGGAGTTCAGGCAATGCTCAAATCTCCCGGTCTCAGTGCGCCCTCTAGGGGCAGCCCGCCTGTGCAGGCTGAACTCATAAGGCCCCGTTCGTTTCTTCCCTCAGTCCAGCCAGCTTGTTCCTGGGTTCGTATGTTAGTTTGTTCACTCATTTACTCATTCATTTAGCAAACAACAACTGGACACCTCCTCTGGGCCAGACCCATACAAATGACCCCAACTCAAGGCCTGCCCTCAAACCAGCTTTTATATACACTTGAGAACCAACATCTGGGATAACTAAAGACACGCCGAGGTCCTCAGGCCCATCCCAGAAACCATGCTGCTGGTTAGCAGTCCCCTCTCTCCTGTGCCTCCTGCAGCGTCCCCTAACCTGTCAGGAGGGGCCCCCCACCAGTCTCGCAGCTTGCCCCCCAGACTGGGAACTTCTCGAGGGCAAAGGCCGAGCCCCTTGCACTCCTGGCGCTCAGTGAAGTCAGCTGGAAGTGCTGCGTGGAATCTGTACTCAAATGGACACCCCCCACCCCACAGAAGCAGAATTCCTGTGATCTGGGGAGGGGCTCAAGGCCGGGGAGGGGTGAGAAATGAAGTGACCCAGGCCTTCAGTAAACATAAATTCTCTTTTCTCGTCACCCTCAGTGCCTGGGACTGCAAGATGATGCCAGAGTCATCTCAGGGTGTCCCAGGTGGAGTGGCTTGTCGGGTGCAGCTGTGGTCCAGCTCCAGAGGCACCCATTATCCCAGCCTCACCCAAAGAAGGGGGAGCCTGGAGTCTGAGGGCTGCTGGGAGAATGACTCATGGGCCAGGAGTCCGTGTTGACTCAGAAGGAAGGAGCAACTAACTAGTGCTCTGTTCCAACTTCAACAATGGCTCTTTTTAGAAACTTTTGTCTAACCCAAGTCTTTCCTGGGTCCACCTCTCCCAGCGCAAAGCCCAGAGAGAGAGAGTGTGGGGGCAGGGGGAGATGGAAGGTAGACTTGGAGATGGATTAGAGGGCCCAGGAGGGGATGCCTGCCCTGTAAGGGAGGCAGCACAGAGAACGTGGCCAGCCCCGGGGTGCTGTGCCACTGTGAACGGGGTTACTGTGCCCCCTAGTGGGATCCAGATGCCTTGGCATCCGCTGCAGCCGCTGGTCCTCACCCAGCCCTGTTCTCCTCAGGGATGCTGGGATCAAAGCCTGCTCAGAAAAAGAAGCGGGTGTGTTTGTATGGATGGGTGTGCGAGTGGGCGTAGGTGTGGCTTCTTTCACTGCTTTGCCCTGACGCCCCCAGTCCAACTCCAGTGCACAAAATGAAATTACACAGAGGCTCTGGGTCTCAGCTTCCTCATCTGTGTTTCGCAAAGCTTGGAGCCAATGATTACTAACACCCCTTCCAGGTGCAGCTGTAGAGCTCTAAGGCTCCATGATTCCAGACTGAAGGAGAAGAAAAGGCCCCAAATCCTTGGAAGATGCTTCTTCGAGTCAGCCGTGAGAACAGTCAACCTTCTGTTTCTTTCCTTGCCCCTAACATCCAGGAGGCCAGGTCAGAGAGGACATGCATGCAGTGAGAACAGGTGCCCTTGAGAATTGACCAGAAGACTGCCCATGCCCCTCCCCTCCCACTCCCAGAGAGCTCGTGACTCACTCGACTGGAATTTTCTTCTCCAGCTCTGGTATTTGCTGGGAGGTGGAGACTGGAAGCTACTGGCCCGTTGCAGAGCTGTGGTGGAAAAAAGAAAGGGGCAGGGGAGATGGGGAAGGAGGAAGAGTCTGTTAAACTTACAGAATAACCATGGGGTTTTCTCCTATGGCACATTTTATGGACTAATAGTCATAATTAACTGAGCCCCTTCCTTTTCCAGACTGCATCTTCCCATCCCTAAGACACACATCTCCAACATTTCATTTGCTCATTCACTGAATATGTATTGAGGCCCTGCTATGGGACAGGTACTGCCATCATTCAGAAAATGACTCAGATTATGAGCCATCATTCTGACTTACCCATAAGTAACATACATGTATACATGTGTACGTGCACACATGTATATACGCTTGCCCATACATACGCATGCTTTTACGCGCGCTTGTTTGCTCGTTTTTAGCAGAGCAGTTCTTCAAAGCTGGTCTCACATCAATGTCCCGTATATGTAGTAGATAAACCGGAGCTGTTCTCATTGAAACCCGAAAGCTGCAGAAAGTTCTACCTCCTCTCCCCCTCCCCCGCAAAGCCTCCCAAACCCTTCGGGAACCAGGATTCCATGAACTGTGTCCAGAAGACCCTCCACCCAGCTGGGTCTTGAGAATTAGCTGCGCAAGATGAACATCACATGCAGAAGAAGGTGGCCTTGGCCATTTAGGGTGTGAGAGATGCACATGTACCCCATTCCCACACTGGGCTCTCAGATTTGGCCTCAGGCTCTAGGTCCCTGTGGTGGTTCCTTCATACCCGAGAGAAAGAATGGGGCACTGCATGCAGGCCTGAATGTGCACACAGGTGGGACCAGGGGGCGTGGAGGGAAAGAATGCCCCAGGAGTGATGTGGGTGTGGGAGAATGGGGTAGGGAAGGTTTGAAGCCAAGGCCCAGCCCTCAGTCTCGGTAGGAAGGTCTGGATCCCACGCCCTGCCAGTACTCAGAACTGGGCATCCACTCTCATTAGCCAGGCTGTGGGGTGCAGGTGGCAGCCACTTCCGGGGGCTTCTCTTCCTTGGGATAAGATCCAACAGCTCCTTAGATCCCTGACTCCCCTCCTTCCCTTACTGTCCCTGGAGATGATGTGGGCCTGTTCCATCTGTGGGTTCCCTGTCCCACAGGCCTGCTGTCATATCGAGTGCATGGGCTTGAGGGGCAGCCTGTGTGGCCTGGCTCAGGGCGCAGGCTCCTCATCCCCCATCCACCAGCTTGGGCCTGTTCCTCCCACAGACGCAGGGCGGGGCCTGCCCGGCTGGGCTGGTATGCAGCAAGGACAGGCAGGCCTCCAGGATAGCTACCTCCTGCTGACCGACGCTATCCCTTCCATCAGCTGGTGGAGAAATTCCCCGAGAGATGTAGAAGACGGCCTCAAGCTCTTATTGCTTCACCTCAGCTTTTTCACTTTGTGGAATGGAACTTATTAAAATTGGTTAAAATTCACAAGCAATTTTCCATCCCTGGTGTTTATGGGACACACATGTGCACATTTTTTACCACAATAGGCACAACAGGGTGGGTAGCAGTGATTTGATCCAGTTGTTTTGAGCAGCATAAAGCCAGCCTGGTTCCCTTTTTCAGCTTATATTTTACTTGTATTTCTTTTTAGGGAGTACTTTTGGAGCTCCTACTGCATGACCCACTACAAAAGGAATAAGGGATAAGTATTTTGCCATACAGTGCTAATGATATCATTTTATTGTTACAAACTAGCAGTGCGCTCCCATAGGTCACTGGACCATTCTGGTGTCAAATTACTGCCAGAAAAAAAATGGAGAAACAACAATTTTTTTAAACCAGAATAAGATGAGGCAGTCTGCCCCCCTAGCTCTAATGGGTTTACACCTAAGACCCAATGCACTTGATTGATTCATTTAATTGTTTAGGTGTGCATTTTACAACAAACTTATCCAGACAGGCCCTCTTGGAAGCTGCTCTTCTGTGATTCCCCCAAGTGTAGGATGTGGCCTCCCCCCTGCATGGAAGCAATTGGGGCGCTTCCATAAAATGCAGATACTTGGCTCCATGCTAGACCCACCAAATCTGAATCTCTGCAGGTGGGAACCTACGTATCTGCCTTTTAAACAAGATTTTAAAGAACCACTGAACTAGGTGTTTTGGGGGACCATTACTGAGCCTTTTCTACTGAGCCTCAATAACATAGGGCTTAAATTCTATTTCAGACCATCCTCTTGGGCATGCTCTATGCTAAGGAACTTTGAGGACACAATAGATTCCTCGATGAGCTGAGTAATCCCAGAAGTCTTTCCCTAAATTGTGGAGAAATACTACATAACATGGAAGTTACCATTTTAACCATGTTAGAGTCAGTTCAGTAGCCTTAAGTACATTCACACTGTTGTACAACCATCACCACCGTCCACCTCCCGAACTTCTTCCTCCCGAACTGAAACTCTGTACCCATGAATCAGCAACTCCTCACATTCCTACCCCCTGCCCCTGTCATCACCATTCGACTTTCTCTATGAATCTGACTCTTCTAGGTACGTCACAGAAATGGAATCGTGTAATACCTGTTCTTTTGTGTCTGGCTTACTTGACTTAGCACAATGTCTTCAAGATGCATCCATGTTGTACCCTCTGTCAGAGTTTCCTTCCTTTTCAACACTGAATAATATTCCATTATATGGATATAGGATAATTTGTTTATCCATTCACTGGTTGATGAATTTTGGGGTCATTTCCCCCTTTGGCAATTGTAAGTAATACCGGATGAGCATGGGTGTGCAAACTTCTTAAAGCAGTATATTGGCCTTTTTGGCATTCCCTTGGCTCAGCTCTGCGCCATTTATCCAAGTGAAAACTGTGATGAGTGAAACTCCATTAACATGCACAACATATCAACCCTATATGATCTGGTAAAGTAACAGATGCACCATAACCAGCAACACAAAACACAATGCTGAGACTGTACCAGAGGTTTTAACCCTACGATTTGGTCTGCCTAGCAATGATCAAAAACATATTGCATGACAGTGAAATCAACAAGAGATTGCTTGAAAGTCACATGGTCTATCCACTTCTCTGTCTACTCTGTATTTTACCCTGGAGTTACATTGGACTGTCAGAAACAAAACGCTTTGGCCACACTGCCTTGTCACCTTGACCCAGCCCTATCCCCCTGGAAGAACTCCTCTTGCTGAGTCGTGTGTGGTCGCGATGCCCTAACCTGCTAGCTGCATGAGACAGCCTCACCCAGGATGTGAACTCATGTGTCTCTCACTGTTGTCTGTTTGACAAGAAGCACTAGGAAAAGTGGTACCAGATCTGGAACTTGCTGCATACCAATACGTTGTTTTTCTCATGAACAATAATTGTGTTTCCTTTTTAACTCTGGCTGCTAGAAAACTCAGGATCAAACTTATGATTCCACTACAGCAACTGCTTAGGCCCACCTTCTGCCTCTCCGGGGTCTCTATCTCCTAAACTCATTTTGTTAACCCTGATCTTGAAGCTTTATCTTTTATAGAGAGAGACGTAGAATTTTGTTTTATGTCTTTCTTGTAAATTGCCCCAAATCCCCTGGCAATCGAGGAGCGAGGAGAAATGGAGGGAAAGGATGAAAGGCAGGCAAGATTTGTAACTGTAAATGAGGAGGCTGGAGCCCAGGCAGACAGCGGCCACGCATAAGTGAACAGAGGCAGGCTGCCCCCAGCCGGGCACAGCACAGTGTTCTGTTCACTGCCTATGCTCAGCCCTTCCAGACGGCACCACGATGGTACTGAGCAAATATATTCTGATGACAATTGTCCTTTTATAAAAAGGCTCACAGGGGAGGGTAAATCCATAGTCTCCAGGAGGCCGGCCCCAGCCCTGGTGTTCCTGGGAGATTGTTTCTAGGTTCTGGTGGAAATTCTGCTCTCGGCCACCAGAGGGGTGTGCAGGACAAGCTGAGTTCCGGTTCTCCCAGGGCAGCCAAGGCTGCTGGCGCCCAAGGTGGCAAGTTCCTGTTAGTCTGCTTCTTCCCACCCCGAGCTCACAAGCTGCTGTTGACTGAATCAAAACATTCAATTCAAGGCCACCTTTATGAAAACAAGCTGCGCTACTAAAGACAACTTTTTAGGGTGTGGAAGCCCCTGGCCCTGGGCCGCAGGCCTTACCAGCTGTGAGACCTAGAGAAAACACAATCTGTTTGCTCACAGGTAAAATGGTGAGCTTACTTACCCCCTGGGGTCATCCTGAGGATGAAATGGGGCCACGTATGGGAAAACCCTCAAGCCATTACAGGTGCTTAGTAGAAGTGTATTTATTACTGTGTAAAATTTTAGTGCATTCCACGTGTCCCAAGCACTGCTAATGGCCTGGCTGTCTGTGGTCCAGTGGCAGCTAAGCCACATCCTTCCCTCGTGGGCTATGGAATGCCAGATGGGCCCCTAAGGAGATATTCAAAGAGGAGACTGTTCCAGGCAAGAGGGTGCTGAGGTCTCCTTATCTCTGCCAGCCTGGGACAGACAACAGCCAGTCAGACCCCTCTGCCACCTACCCACTTGAGACTCCGAAGCTTCTCCTGGAGAAGGAGGCTGGGCCTGGGTCCAGTCCCCTCACTCCCACTTATACCCCAGCCCCACTGCCTCTGAGCCTGAGGGCTGGACCTGTCACCGGATCCTCCGTGAGGAAAAACTGGGCCATGGGGAGTCTCTGCTCCCTCCCCATGTCCCAGGATCAAGCATGCCTGCCTCCCACCCAGGCATGCTCTCTGCTCACCGTGCACAGCTTGTGACTCCTCAGGGCACTGTGAAGAGACTTTCCTGGTTGGGGCCTCTCTCAGGGAGCTGTGCCTGGTGAGGGGCTCCGGGAGGGGTGGGCGTTCTGGCCGCCGGGGTCTCTCCTCACAGGGCTGTGCACCGGATGCCTCACTGCTGGGGCTGTCTGGCTCTGCATCGGAGCTGGAAGGAAGAAGCAGAGGGTGGGTGAGTGGACAGCCCAGTAGTTCACTTCCCACACCCCCACTGTGCCCTGCCCGTCACTGCCCGTGGCGCCCTGGGGCAGACAGAGTGGTTTTGTCACCTCTGTCTCAAGCTCAGCCTCAGGCTTCATTATGGGCTGAACTGTGTCCCCCCAGATTCATATTAGGTCCTAGCCCCTAGGACCTCGGAATGTGACTGCATTTGGAGATTGGGTCTTTAAGGGGGTAATTGGGTTAAAATGAGGTCATTAGGGTGGGCCCTAATCCAACATGGCTGGTGTCCTTACAATAAGAGGAAATTTGGACAGGCAGAGAAGAAAACATCACGTGAACACAGAGTCAGCCATTGACAAACTGAGGAGAGGGGCCTGGAACAGATCCTTCCCCCTCGTGGCTCTCAGAAGGAACCAACCGTGCTGACTCGGACTCCCTGATCTCGGACTCCCAGCTTCTAGAACTGTGAGAAAGCATGTCTCTGTTGTTTAAGCCACCCAGTCCATGGTGCTTTACAGAGCCCTAGTGAACAAATACCGGTGTGGATCCAAGCAGGAGAATAAAGCCCCATGAACATATGCTGATGTGCTTGCCGGACGGCTGGTCTACCTACCTTCAGCCATCCTTGAGCATGACTCCTCAGCTCTCTGGGGCAAAATGAGCTTATCATTTAGGACTTGTCCTAAAACTTTAGGCATTTCAGCACTGCTTGTGTCCTGTGGGAATGGATGGGAGAAAAGAGAAGGCTACAGGGTTGGAGGGGGAGTATGTAATCTGGGCCTTGAATGATGGGCAGGAATTCGCATGGCAGAGAGATGGAAGAAATGTGTCCTCAGGAGCAAGGACAGCACAGACGCCGTCCCCCAGGGGCTTGGGGAGGCGCAAACCTGTAGGGCTGTGACCATTTACTCTCTGTGTATATAAGTCCAGCGTGCATCTTTCCACTGGGTTGCTGTTCCTTATCCATCTGTGTGCTCTGGTGGACTCTCTATCCATCACAGTGCCCAAGCCTACCAGCCACGGCATCCCTGTGCTCTTCACCGATGGGTCCCAGAGGTGGGCATGCCATGTGAGTAGTACCCATTGGAGGTCTGCCTTGAGATCCTGGGACATGGACATGGACTGACGGACATGGGCTGAGGCCCTCCATAGCCAAGAGTTCCACACATTGACAGAGCCTCCTTGTGGATGATTGTAAATCCGACATGCAAAGGGGCAGCAGCAGAGTGGCTATTTGAGTTTGTGGCTCCAACCTTGCCTGAAGAGAGGACTACCCTTGGACTTCCCAGTCAGAGGAACTGAAGTATTTGCTATGTTACTTAAGCTAGCATTGGGTTTCTGCCCCTTACAATGGACATGGTCCTGCATACCTGAGGCCTAGAAGGCTGTGAGACCTGGGGCAGGGCCTTCCTTCTCTGGGCCTTGCTTTTTATCTCAGGGACTGCAGAGGGCACTCCAAGGCAGAGGTGCTCATGCTGACCTGTGTGTCAGAATCACCTGTGGGCCTTGCTAAAATGTACGTTCCCAGGCTCCCCCTTCCAGAGTCTGAAGTCTCCAGGCGTCGTGAACTAGCTGTCTGCACAGCAGTATCTGTTTTCACCTACTCCAGCCATTTTTCTGATCCTCTTTGTTGGAAAATCCAGAGGTCGTTTCTCCAGTTCCTCCATTCTTATCTGAAACAGTGAACCACACCCTCCATCTTGAAACTTCTTTCTTCTCTCAGCTTCTCCAACTCAGTCTCTCTTGGTTTCTCTCCTTCCTGTGGGTTTTGCCAGCATCTTCTCTGCTTGCCCACTGAATGTTCAAATGCCCTGGGGCCCTCGCCTAGGCTTAGCTCTATCTATGAGAAGATAGCCTCTTTTTTTTTTTTTTTTTTTCCCTGAAGAGATACTCTTACTCCACGGGTGACTCATCAGCTCCCTTGGCTTTCATAGCCTCTATGTGCCCCTGGCCCCAAAATCACTGTCTCTAGTCCTGTCTCCCAGAAACCTCTCTGTTCTACTGCTTGCTTGACAACTGCACAAAGACATCTGGTAGACATGTCAAACCCCACAGGCCCAAAACAGAACTCTTGATTTTCTCCACAGAACTGCCTCTTCCCGGAAATCTTGTCCCCCTCAAGGCTACTGTAGAAATGACTGTAACTTTCATGCGGTCACCTGGGTCAAAGCCTGAGAGTCACCCTTGGGCTCTCTCTCACCTTCACATTCAGTCCATTAGCAAATCTTCTCGCCTGCTCCCGACCGTGGTCCGCGTCCCCCCATCTCTTACCTGTGCCACAGGCTCCCACTGGGCCTCCCTGCCCCCGCTCCCACCCACCTCTGCCCCACCCATTTTCTGTCCCAAGCCCGGCTGATCTTTGGAAATCATAAATAACATGTCACTCTCTGACTTAAGAATTATGTAATGGCTTTCAATCGGACCTAGAATTAAGTTTAAACTCCTTGCCCTGTCTCACTTAGCCTTACTCCTGCCTTACTTTCTGGTAGAATATCCTAGTCTTCTTCCCTCACCGTGTGCCAGCCATGTTAGAAGACATCAGGCCCATACCCGCCCCAGAGCCTATGTACTGGTGTTCCACTGCTTGGATGCCACTTCCTCAGTCTTCGCATGCCTGTCCCTTCTTGTCAGCAATTCTCAGCTTAAATGTCACCTCCTCTTGGAAGCTGTGATCAATTGTTTGCAAAGAACCATTGCAATCATTCCCCTCCTGGAGCCACACCCTTTTTCAATGGACCTTTGCAGCTCCTCCCATAACGGTGGAGCCCATTTCCCCACCCCTTGAATCCGGGCTGGACTTGTGACCATTCAGACGTGACAGGAATAGCTGAGACCTCAAGAGACTTGACATGATTGTGCTTTCTCATAGGACCATGTGAATAAGCACAGGCTGCCTGTTGGAGGATGAAGGACCCATGGCCCAGTAGCCTCCTGGCACCCCAGCTGACAGTTAGCCATGTTCTAGAAGCCCGAACACACACAGGAGCCCACTGAGACCAGAAGAACTGCAGGACTGAGCCTGACTGAAATTGCTGGCCCACAGAATCGTGAGTAGAATAATGGTGCTTTGTTACTGAGCACGATGGTGAGAATAGATGACTGATACAAAGGCCTTTCCTGGCTACCGATCAAAAGTAGCTGACTAGTCACCCTCTATCATAGACTCCTATTTTATTTTACTACCTAGAACACAGGTGATATTTTTCCTGTTAACTATTTACTTGTTTGCTGACTGCCCTACCCAGTTTGAATGAGAGCCCTGTGAGAGCAAGGCCTTTGTCTTGTGTTGGTCACTGCTATATCCTGAGAGTCTGGTACATACTGAGCAATGGGTCCCTCTTGCTGGTTGGCCTCCTGGATGAATTCGGTGTCTGGGGGAGGCCTGGAGTCTGCACTCCTAATGACCACTCTGGGTGGTTCCGGTATGGGCGGGAAGGATGGCATTCTGAGAAATACTCATCTAGGGCAGCAGGGCTTCACTTCTCATGCCTTCTCCTGCGCCAGCCCAGCCTCCCCGTTACCATGCGTCACTACCTTACATCTCACTGTCACAGGGACACCCACTCGGCACCCGTCACTGCAGCCTACACCACAACTGCCTTTCAGGGAGAAGACAGTGGGGCCAGAGCCTGTCCCTTCCCTGAGAAAACAGCAACTGCTAACACATACAGTGCTTATTATGTGCCGAACATTGTTCTATATGCTTCACATACATTAACTGTGAGATCCTTACGATTGTCTATGAGACAGGTATTACCACTGTCCCCATTCTACAGACGAGGACAGGGAGGTACAGAGAGGTCACATGGTCAGTGAGTGGAGAGGAGACCAGTCCCTGAATGCTGTCACTGTTGCCCAATCCCTCTTCTGTCCCCATCCTGCAGCAGCCTGAGCATACCTGCTGTCATCACTGGTGACCAGGACACGCACAGCCATCATGTCTTCTCCAACTACGTTCTCCCCAGGGCTGATCCTCACTGAGGTCCACTCAGAGGGCAGGAGAGAGGTGGCTTCACCTTCCATATCACTGGGCTCTGGCTCCAGGACACTCTTGGGCTTCTTGGGGGAGGTTGGCTCATCTGCTGGGAGGATAAGAGTATCTAGAGAGATGATGGGGATAAAGGGGCCCTGCAGGGTACCTGCTTCCCGTCCAGAAGCTTGGGGAGGCTGCTGGGGTAGAGGGTGGGCAGAGCAGCAGGCTTTGGGTCTACCTGGACACTCCAAGACTGACCTTCTCGTCCTCTGTTCCTACCACCTAGCCTACCAGATGCCCCAGGATTTAGAGCACCTCTGTGTACAGGGCATGAACACACACATCTCATGTAGTCCCATAGAAGGGTCCTGAAATGTCCAGAGGGACCACCCAGGCCCAAAAGCCTCTGGACTGCCATTGTCAAAATCACCATGTCCAACATACTGCTAAACCTGGTGGCAACTTCTCCATTCTTGTCTTGACACATCAGCAGCATTTGACCCAGCGGTTCATTCTCTCCTTCTAGAAACAGCTCTCCTCTCAGCTTCTAGGATAGCATAGCCTGGCTCCCTTCTCCTCACTGGCAGCTCTCCTTCCCTCTTTGTTTCTGTGTTGGGTATACCTTTCCCCCTGATCTGGTAACACTGGAAGGCCCCAGGGCTGTCTTTGAATCTCTTCTCTTACTCATGCCCGTGATAATCTCATCTGGTCTCCTGGTTTCAAATAATCCTAGATAACAATGACTCACTCCTACATCTATATTTCAGACATTTCCCCTGAATCTAGACTTATATATCCTGTTTACTTGGCATCTCCACGTGGACATCTAGCAGACACATTATCAAACTCATATCCAAGTGGACCTCTTCAGCCCCACTGCTCCCCAACCCTGCTTCCCCCAAAGCCCTCCCCATCTCGTTAAATGGCGACCTTGGCCTTCCAGCTGCTCAAGTCAAATGCTTTCATGGCATCCTTGACTTCTCTTGTTCTTTCATTCTTCACTCAAGTTAACAGCCAATCCTCCTGGCTCCCGCTTCAAAATAGGTCAGGAATCCAGTCACCTGTCACAACCTCCTCTGCTACTGCTCTGGCCCCAGTCACCATGATTATGGAAACATCTTCTGTGGGTTTCCCTTCTTTCCCTCTTGCCATGCTCCTCCCAGTCTTCTTAACACAGCCACCCAAGTAACTGTTAAATATAAGTCAGATCATGCTCCTCTGCTCAACACCCTCCAGCGGCCCCCGTGACCTCATCTCCCACTACTGCCCCACTGTGTGCTCTGACCACCCGGCCACCTCACTGTCCCCCCATCTCAGCCCTGTGTACCGCTCCTGCCTCTTCCTAGGAGATGCTATCCCTGGACAGCTTCCCACAGGGCTCGCTCACTCACCGCCTCAAGTCTCTGGTCAAATGGCACCTTCTCCATGAGGCCTACCCTGTCATCCTATTTTAACTGCAACCTGTGCCCTCAGCACTCTCTGTTATTCTTTATTTTTATTCATAACACATCTTACCTTCTAATAAAATCTACAACTTTCTCTTTTGTTTATTGTTTCTCTCCCATGACTAGAACATAAGCAGTGATTTGTGTCTGTTTCCTTTCTTGCTAGGACAGTACCTGGTAAGAAGTAGATGCTTGAGGAATGCCTGTTGAATGAGTCAATGAACGAATAAGCAAAACAGGCCACCTGAGGCCCAGTTCCATTTTGGCCACAAACTAGCTGGGTGACCCCTTCTCTGGTCACAGTGGGCCAGGCGTCCTTTCTCCTTTCGAAGGCTGACCCCTCACTTGCACTTGGCTCCCTCCTCACCAACCCCCCTCCAAGGATCATTACCTCCTCTTCCCTGTGCCACAGACTTCTATGTCTACTGGAACTTTTCCATCAGTATTTGCATGTGCTGAAGCCTCTCCCATTTTAAGAAAATGATTTTTAACCCAATTCCCATGCCTGGCCCCTAGCCAACCCTTCTTCCTCTTCTCCCTCCTTCCCAGCCAATCATCTTGGAAGAGTTTGCTGCACTCACCTTCTCTACTTGTGCACCTTCCATCACTCAACTCCTCAATCCCCTACAACCCTGCCCGTGTCTCCATGACTCCCACACCGACCTACCCCAAAGCCCCCGGCAGCCTCCTTATTGCTAAGTCCAATTCACAAGCTCTGAGATCCTCCTGCAGCTGCTGCTGCCCTCCCCTAGCCCTGCTCTGGGGACCCGGTTCTCTCGCTGCCTCTCTGGCTGCTTCTCAGCCAGCCAGTCTCCGAGCCAACCCCTAAATGCTGGGCTCTTCACATCTCCACCTGCAAGAGGCCAGCTACGCATCTCAGCCAGCCAGTCTCTGAGCCAACCCCTAAATGCTGGGCTCTTCATGCCTCCACCTGCAAGAGGCCAACTACTCCCTAACTATATTTACCATCTATGAAGATAACTCGAGAAATCTTTATTTGTACGTGAAATGCCTCATGTTTTTAAAAGCATTGTATAGGTCAAACAAAACACATCTCCAGGCAGATGCGGCCAGTGGGTGGCCAGTTTGCCACTCCTGGCATGCGTGCGCGCTTGCTTGTGCGTGCGCATTTGCACACTTCTGCACTGGTGCGGCTGTGCGTGGGACGCCCTGGGGAGCAGGGGTGTAACTGGATGCTTGGCTTTGTAGTAGTAGCCGTAATAATATAATAATAATAGCAGCAGCTTACTTTTACTGAGCACTTTTATGGAGAACTGTTTTAAGTGTTTAACGCTTATTAAGTCTATTAAACTTCATAGGACCTTCTAGACAAGTATTATTATCCCCATTTTGCTGATGAAAAAACAGGTGCACAGAGAGGCTAAGACATCAGAGGACAGGGATCCGTCTGTATGGCTGCGAGCAGAACAGAACCATGGACGCCCATGTGCGTGACCTTTATTCTGGGAGTTTGGGCAGGATTATGTTCCTGTTTTTTACCCCCGCTCCATAACAGAGCTGTGCTTTTTTTTCTGTGACCTTGTAGTTCTTCCTACTAGGGGTGGTAGGTATGCTTCCTTGACCAACTGACATGGGACTTGGCTCTGACACTTGCTTTGCCCAGGGGAAACAAGTGGATGTGACATGAGCAGTGGCTTCAAATGACCTTGCTGTTTGGCCAGTCCACCCACACTCTTGCTAGTTTGCCATGAGAAGATCTTGTCCCAGAGGGCTGCTGCCCCCGCAGCCTAGGTCCCTGACTGTGGGCACATGGAGCATATCTGAAGCCTTGCCTAACCAATCCCATGGGAGCCCAGGCCACCCTGAGACCTGCAGCCTGAAGCACAGCTCCTCAGCCAACCCCACAGACCCCCAAGCCAGTAAAATAGATGCTATGAGCCCCAGAAATTCAGGAGGCTTATCACACAGAATTACTGTAGCAGAGACTCGACTCTGTACCTGGCTTATACCTGAGTACAGGTGTGTGTGCCTGAGCGGGCTGCACAGAGACCTGTATAGTCAACAAATGCTACTTGGCCTCCTCTGACCCAGGCCTGTGCTGGGGATTTGGAGATGAATCAGCCATGCTCTGCCTTCAAGGGTCTCTTCCCATCTCCCAGGGGAGATGAGGCAGCCTTATCAGGTAGATCGTCTATGAGTAAGGCGAGACAAAGTAGAAGGGGAAGGAGATCTGACTTCTGTACAATGAACACTTGAGGTGGAAGGCACCATTTTAATGGGTTAAGGATGAGTAGGATCTGAACAGAGAAGGGAGAGACGGTGTTCCACAGGATGGACCTCTGCGAGCCAAAACAATGAGGGAAAGCACTGCCAGCTGCAGGGGAACAGACACCACGTCCGCGTGGCTGGAGGGCAGGAGAGTCTATGAGAGAGGCCAGTGGGACATCATTCCACTGACATGGGACCAGAAAGGGCCCCGAAGGGCAAAGTGAAGAGTAGCACTGAAAGTTTGGAAGCTGAGGACTGGTATCATCAGAGTGGCCTCATAGAAAGATCGCTCTGGTTGCCGAGTGCAAGGTGGACTGGAGGACCCACCAGGAGGGGAGAGGGAGACCAGGGGAAGGGCCATGATAACCTGGAGGAGAACTAAAGGCTGAGCATGCGTGGCCGGAGAAGAGGGGAGCAAGGCTGGTGAGAGCAGCCTGGAGGCGCAGGCAGTGGAGAGGAGCTGTGCCGGGCCGTGGTGGCACCACCTCCGGGACCAGCCCAAACCTGCGAGGGACACCCCGGGGGTCTGCTTGTATCCTCCCTCCTCCTAGAGAGTTCCGACCTGGCCAGCAGGGCCGAGGGGTGGGACGGGGCAAGGGCTCAGGCTGGAGGGGTGGGGACGGGGCTGAGTGATGAGCCCTCGGGACAGTGGGGTCAGGGCCAGCGTCTCTCACCGTGGAGCCCAGATATCAGTGGAGGGGCTGGGGGTGGGGGGAGGTGGAGACTTGGAAAAAAAGAAGCTGGGGCTTTCTCTGATCAACACCTCGCCGAGGTGCAAAAGCCCCAAAGACGGACATCCTCTTCCCCTCCCTTCTGCCCCCCAAGGCCTGGGCCAAAGGCTACAGCTGGGTCTCGGGTCCAGTGCTATGCCCCGGAGGACATCACTCCTCTCAAGCTTCTACTTCCAGACCGCTCTCTCATTCCCCGGGGACTCCCGTCTGCGCGCACAGACCAGCAGCCCAGTACGAGCGATGGAAGTAGTCTCAAGGTAACAACGACAGCAACAGCCATGCATTATCGAGGCCTTTATCCATGTTCATTGTTTCTGACATCCCAAGAGCCTGAAAGGACAGTGTTGTCATCTTCACCGCATGCGTGCGAGAACGTGGCGCCTGGAGGAATAACTCAGCCAGGGCCCCGCAGTGAGTGAGCCGGATCGGCCGCCCCGGGGACACACAGCGGCTATGTCAGTGGCCAGCCCCACAGGAGGGGCCAGCTGTGCTCACCTGCGCTGCCTCCCCCAGGCCTGTCTGCAGGTTGTCCGAGATTTCGCCTTAAGTTATCTATTCCCATAGAGAGAAGCCAGGGGATGCCAGGGGAGGAGGCGCACAGGGCGGGCAGGGAGAATGATCCCCCAGCTCCCTGGCCTCCTGGAGGGAAGCAGGTGTTCTCAGAGCCAAGCATTTCAATCTCCTCCCAGTGCTCCCTGGTGAAA